TGATTTTTAAGCCCTCTGACAAAGGAGGCAATACGGTCATCCTAGATAAAGTAGACTATGTCTCTATGGTACATAGACTGATCAAGGATGAAAACACGTATGAAATATTGAAGGGAGACCCGACAAAAAAATATCTAGCAGAATTGAAAACAATTTTACACAATGCACTGTCCCTTTCGCTGATATCCAAGGAAGAATATAATTTCATATTTGTTAAAAAACCGATTACAGCTACTTTCTATGCACTTCCAAAAGTGCATAAACAGCAACCAACACTTAAAGGGAGGCCGATAGTATCAGGCAGAGGAAATCTGACCCAAAATGCTAGTCTATATGTTGATCAAATCTTGAGAAAACTTGTCTTTGAGCTCCCTTCATATTTGAAGGATACGAAACACACGTTAAACATCATTGGTAGTATCAAACTTAATGGGGATGCCATTCTATGCAGCCTTGACGTTGAAAGCCTGTATAGCTCTATACCTCATGATGTGGGATTGCAACATCTTAGAGCAATCATGGATAGAACACCAGTGGTTTCGTTAAGACATAATGAATTCATTCAGGATTTAATGAGATTCATTTTAACTCATAACCACTTTATCTTTCAAGGCAAGTACTACCACCAGGTGAGGGGGACAGCTATGGGGACAGCTTGTGCCCCCTCATATGCCAACCTCCACCTGGGGTGGTGGGAAAGCACTACTGTGTTCAATGCCAATATGGAAAAATACACGAGACACATTAAGTTATGGAAAAGATACATCGATGATGTGCTAATTATTTGGACGGATACAGCTGAGCTCTTCCTAGAGTTCGTGGAAATCCTCAATCTCAATAACATAAACTTGAGATTGACAAGTGAAATTGGGGGAAATGAAATTAATTTCCTTGATATTACTATCTCTTTAACAGATGAAGGGGATCTTATATCTACACTCTTCCGTAAACCGACTGCAACGAATAATCTTTTAAACTGGACGAGCTATCACCCCCCCTCACTAAAAAGAGGGATTCCAATTGGGCAATATCTGCGTCTTCGAAGAAATTGCTCAAATATTGATGACTTTAAAACAAAGGCCAGAGCTTTACAACATCAATTTAAACAAAAGGGATATCCGAATAGGTGCCTAAAGTATGCATATAAACGTGCATTATGTGAAGAGCGGTCGGAATTGTTAAAGGATAAAAGTATTCCTAAATCTACACAAGAGATAATAAGGTGTATAGGGAATTTTGATGCAGGCTGGAACCAAATCATGAATATTTTGGATAGATTTTGGCCCCTCCTACATCAGGATATACACCTAAAGAAAGTCATTACCCCAAGAGCATCAGTGACAGCCAGAAGGGGACGCAATATTAAGGATATCTTGGTCCCTAGTCATCTGAAAAATGCACCTCAAAAAAATACATGGTTAAAATCCACGGTTTTGGGTACTTACCAATGTGGCAAATGCAAGGCGTGTAAATTTATACGCAGACCATCAAAAAAGTTCCAAGATTCCCTAGGACAACAAGAATTTCTAGTTAAGAATTTCTTTAATTGTCAAACTATGGGAATTGTGTACCTACTGTCATGCTCCTGCAAGAAATTATATGTGGGCAAGACCTCACATAAATTTAAACTGAGGATTGGGGAACATGTTAACTCGGTCAACCCGAAAAGATTGGTCGACACTCCAGTCTCTAAACACCTTAAACTACATCATGGTGGTTCAGCAGAGGGCATTAGATTTTGTGGCATCGAAAAAGTTATACTTGGACCAAGGGGAGGGGATCTGGATAAAAGACTACTCCAAAGAGAGAGTTTTTGGATTTATAAACTGAAAACACTTGCTCCCTTTGGCCTGAATGAGGGATTTTCTTATGCACCTTTTATATAAGATCCAATCTGTACAATTCATCTTTGGTCCGTATGGACACACCTGGTATTTCTCTATACCATCATATATTCTGTAAATAAGTACTGTCTGACAGGTTGTAAGGATCTATACCTTGTCATTTGCACTTGTAATATTTGTAAATAGTAGTGTAGCTGTGGGCTTATATAGCCATTATTTAGATTAGTATATATATAGAGTTTTATGTATTTTAACTTTAACCTACCTACAGTCATGAGGATAGTAATCATGCTCTCCAGTTTTGAAACCTGAGGAATTAGCAATAAAGCTAAGGATCTAGCCTGTGGTAATAATATTGGATAAGATATATAGGACTCCCTCTCTTTGTGAACCCATAATATGAGAGTAATACACTAATGTAGCATCACCTGGATATATTTATATCTTTATATATAGGTTGATAATACAATAGGGTTCACATTTGTATATTTGTACATATGGTGGTCACTTTAACATAGACCAGCCGATAGGACGGGTAATAGAGGCTTGGAATAATATCACGTAAGCCGGTTACATTTTTGACACACCCACATGGTTGATAGACAGCTCCTGGACATATAGGCTGTCAGTTATCGATACGCCCACATGACGACATGGAGGGGCGTACTCGGTATCAACGTGTTCATCCTTGAGCAGGACGGACGACGTGTTGACTCCGCCCCCATTGACACCACGTGGGCGGCAGACGCAACACGGAAGTAATGAGACACACGTGGGGAACATGACCTCTGCATACAGATTGGCTGCTGGTAGGAGGAATACTTAGGTACTAAAGGTATTTAAGAGACACTATTATGAATAGAAAGCTGGCCCCTGACGAAGGTGCACTCTCTAAGCACCGAAACGCGTGTTGGGCGTTTTGCCAACTTTTACACTGGGCACTGAATGGCACTCTAGCACTATGAATTGCACTTAACTTTTTTCTTTTGGTTTACCTTTTATATATTCCTATGCCTGTCTAGCTAGTTTACCAGGGAGAGAGGCTTTAATAACTTTAATATATATGGCAGTTTGATTTTGACTGACCATTAGTTTCTACAAACTTTCTTCTATTTCTACATCTAAGTCTCCCTCTAATGCTGACTATTCTAGATTTTTTCTAATATGATTGGTAAGGTCTGCTACTTGGAACATTTTTTTCTACATATAGCTAGACTCAATACAAATTTATTTTGTATTAGTATATATTATCAGCAGACATTTACTTCATGGTCCTATATATAATATATATGGACATTAGGAAACTGTGGGATCCTGCACTCAGGAAACTAGTCACTGGCAATTAGATAGGTATACCTTTTCCTATTTAGCATATGTACTTTATTAAAGCTGTCATATAGGTGTTAAGGTTCTTTATTTATACATACTGCCAGATTCTAGCCGTGGCATTTGGTGCATTCCCTCTGGTGAGCATAGGAATATTAGTATTTATGTTATATCGACTCTATTTCTTATCTGACATTGGTGATTATCCCTAGTTAATATAACTGCACGCTACACTTCTATGTAATATTTCCAGGTAATGTAGTCAGACTGGGATCCGTTTAGATGTCCTAAGCCTGCCTGCATTTGTTCTATTCTTTTGTGGCATAATAATAATACAAATACAAAATCCGACAGCCTATCAGACGGTCATAAAATAAATTCATATTAAACTGACAGCCCAGTAAATGAAAATAATTTGAAATGACCTGGCAAGAAACTAAATGCAGATTAAAATTCAGATTTTGACAACAGGGTTCCTAGGCCTACCAGATGAACCAACTCCAATGCCCAATCAAAAGACACATATCGTACTCAACAGAACTCTTTAGCAGTGCCATCATCTAAAGAAGATCCAAATGGCAAGGATAAATGGTGAATGAGCCAAAAGGTGCTTGGTTCATTTTTTGGAACCAAGCCCAAAGAGGACACCTGCAAATTGTCAAAGTGACCAAGCCTAACCTCCTTTTTGAAGTTTCTCTGACAAGATATTCTACTTACCCTGAACCAATAACAAATTAGGGGCAAATGATGCCTCCTACGACACAATCAGAAACCATAGGAAAACCTTCCCATAAAATTTGAGCATCTCTACACTTGGGGTACCGAACGAGCCATGTGACTGCTGACACTCTTGCAGGAGTGCCGGTGTTAAGTGGTTGGGCTACACAGAGTCATAAGTAGCAACCAAAGGTTACCATACTCTGAAATCCAATTGAGCTCAAATCGCTATTTTATTTTTATTTTTTCCCCACACTGCTAGTCATACTGATCAAGCACTGACCTCCAAATATCTTGTAGGCATCCCAAATGATGTCCAAATAGTGAACAGTGAACAATGACAGTGCCCTCTCAGGAAACCTTCTACTCAGAATACTTGTAAATGTTACAAAGACTTGGAACCAATTTCCAAACATTCTAAGCAATTATTTACCATTGTCCTCCTCCCTGACTTCCCTTTGCCATCGTGTGTCCACTGACTCACCCTTAATAAAAATGTTTTTTTTAATTATTATTTTTATTTATTTATTTTATCCAAGGGCACATGTAAACTCAGCATAGCATCATTACATACTGGACTCAGAGAGGGGGCACTACTTAACTGGTAACCATAACTTCTATAAGGCACACCTCAGGACAGGGAAGGGACCCACCCAGTGTAGACCCTGAATCCTGCGCACGGGTGAAGCTCTCTAACAGTGCCCTGAGCAACTGCATAACTTCCCTTTGAGACCCACTTCTCCCCGCTGGCTCTGTCTGCGCAGCCCAAGTGTGAGCGCAAGCATACTCATGACTATCGAGCAGGGGAACCAGTCTCTCCATCCTCTGAGAATCAGCCGAATGTGCAGAAAACTGCGCTTTGCTCTCTTTGGCTCACCAAACCGCTCTGGAAGCAGAAGTTCTGCAGCTAATTTTGGATGAATTTTGGTGTTGAATAGACTCAGATTCTTGTTTGCGAACTGCATCAGAGTACTCCAGTGAACACACTCTGAATTCCTCCTGTGAATTGCCTCAGAGACTGAATAACATTCTAATCCTGAATGACATCTGAATCCAATTGCCAAATTGCCTCTAAATGCAATTCGCAAACTTCTCCCGAATTTGATCTGGCACCACCAAATGACGTAGGGGCCTGTGATGTCCGTGCAGCGGTGCATATGGATATCACGTACGCGCCCCTAGGGGAGGTTCGAGCATCACTCCGTCTCCCCTGGCATGTGGTCACATGCTCTGATGTGACATCCTCCACAGCCGGAAGAGAGGGCCTAGGGCTCAGAAACCTCACGCGGAATCCAGCACCATCTTGAGGCGTTGCACCGCCATCTAGGGAATGCGAACCAGATCTGGAAATTTTACACCTGGCACTCTCCTGGACCTTCTCCTCACCGCAATCGCCGGGTTTTTAGTCCCCAAACCAGCCTCACTCAGTTCAGGACTTGTGTGGGTTGCTGAAGCTGCTCTGGATCGCTGAATCAGACTTGGGCAGGGCCCATCTGCTCATAGGTGAAGAAGTAACTTCTCTTTCCAATCCACCATGTTCTCCCGAGACCTCCATGACACCTTGTATTAAAGGGACACCGTAGGCACTGTATCTGCTTCATCTCATTAAACTGGTTATAGTGTATAGAGTCCCCTGGTGCCATCATTTCTTTCAGCATTAAACAGTTTTTAATGTTGTAATGTTTTAATCCTAAACAAGAGACCATGGCAGTCCATCCCCTCTGTGGTGCTTTGGCTAATAAGGAAGTATTAGCCTGAGCAGCAATGGGCAGCTGTGATTGGCTGAGAGTGTCAGCTGACTGCTTTTAACCCGTCAGAGCTCCAACTGACGGTATGAATGGGTATGACAACAAGGAAGTGTGTAATCTCTGCCTTAGCTACACATACAGAAGGGGCCGGACTGTGGGTGGCCAGGGACTCTTATTTTGTGGCATACTGCACAAACATGGTGCAACACTGAATGGAGGGACAGTGCCAGGGCACTCCAGGCACTATAACCAATTCAAAGAGACAAAGTGGTTAAAGTGACTACAGTGTCCCTTTAAGGAAGCATAGGACTCTTACCATGAGCCCTATGGAAAGCCTGCAGCAGAGTGAGTAATGCCTCCCTTGACATCTCTGAAGCACTACACTAGTTATTTTATTTGGGAGGAAAACTCAATTTCATAAATGTAATTTTTACAGAGAGTACCAGAGGAAAGACACTGTCAGTCTCCCTCAGCATTGTTCACCAGTAGTTTGGTAATTTTCCCAGAATTCCATGCTTCCAGCTGTAAACCAACTGTATCCCATTTGGTTGCTATGCCAACCCCTGAAGGCAGCAGTCATGCTCCCCCCTCCCTATTCGCTCAAGGGGTTGGCCTTTATTTAAACTTTTCCCACATCTATAAAGAGCAATGTATGAATCATTGTTTTGTCCTAATTTAATATGCAAGCTGCTTTTCTCAAATTTTGATAAATTGTTACATTATTTAACTAACATATAGTTTAGAAGTAAAGGGGTTTATTTCCTCAGAAAGCCAACATTATTTGTTTTAATTATCAGTATGGTTTATAAAGGAGCTCTGTTTGCATATTTTCTAGCTTACTACATATGGACTCTGGTCCTTGATCTAAATATGAGCCTTAGGGAATATTCCTGCTTTCAACAGAAGGGAAGCTTAAATTTATCTGTGTAGAGAAAATGAAAATTGTATTTGGTTCACCCTAGAGAATGGATTTTAATTTAGAATTCTCTGTAATTGATTGTATATTGTCTGTGTGTAAACTTTATTAAATTACACATTTCACAAATAAAAGTTCTGTAACTGGAAATATCAATTTGACATTCATATCCTATCTTGCAAGGATTAAAAAAAAAACATTTTAAAATGGCAGCCAATATGGCAGCCTTAAAGAGGGAATAAAGATATTCGTATTCCCAAGAACCAAGCACTCCGAAATTTGATTGCAAACAGTTTTTCAGTGAATTCTGTGCAGCATTTTCCCTTAAAGTGCAACCAGATTAATTACTATGATGCTTCTTGTCTCCATATTAAAAAAAACGAGCCTAAGAAAATTAGCACATTCAGTGACCTGTGTAAACAGAGAACAAATTAGTAGCACATCACAAAGGTAAACTTGGAAAAAAAACAAAAAAAAACACCTTTATCACTTTCAGCATTATATAGTGCTTTAATTAATATGATACAGTTGCCTGTTGGCTATTTTTAAAATTAATGCTAATTTAACCGGTTAGGTGTTCATTAAACCTTTGTATTTTATTTTTCAAACTGTAATTACAGTTTCTTATGGTAATCTTATATCTCTAATTTTAAAATGCATATTAAATTAACATACATTTTGACACTATATTGCCACCAGTTTAAATGTACTTAAAAATAGCTGTTGCTAGTAAAAAAAAAACACAAAGTCACAACAGACAAACGGTGAAAATAAAATTCAGATGCATTGTATTAGAATTAATTGCCTCAGACTGTGGTACTCTGAATTCATACCTTATACATGAGAGTCCAGAGCAGAACTAGACAACCTTTGGCATTCCACATGTTGTGGACTACATTTCTGTGATGGTAGTCACCATCACTGGTAGTAAAAGGACACTTTACAAAGATTCCTAAGTCCTACGTCCTATGTCCATTAGAGGTGCAAGGTGTTTATAATGTTTTGTATATTGTTAATAGTTTTGTGTGCTCTCCTGTCTTGCTGATGCTTGTTACCGACTAAGGGGATTTGGATATGGAGCCTGTATAGTGGAGCCTATATAGCGCTCTCTGTTGGTAGCATCAGCTATATGCACTACCTGAATAGAAAATGAATAGCAAAGCTTGTTAATTTGAATAGCAAAGCTTGATAATTTGCATATTCAGGTACATTTGCATATGGCTAATTCTGCAGACAGGAGAGATGTTTTGTGTTGGTTATTGACTTCCCCGCCCCTTTTTAAGATATTTTATTTTGTTATTATAATTCCCTGTATATTTTCTGATATGTTTTGATTATTTGTATTTTTATTGTCATCATAAGATACATGTAAGGAACATTTGGGCCAATCCCAAGAAAAAAAATTAAGTTTTGTTGTTAGTTTCTTTTGGAACAGTGTCCTGTGTGGATTTTTAGAGATCCCAGCCACAGAGTTGCAGCACCTGTTGCCTGGCTACATGATCCCTCTAGCCCTAGGAGAAATCAAGAGAGCAAGCCATGAGAGCCGCAAATGCCTTTGTAAAAATCAAAGAAATCCTTGCAGACAGTGGTGATTACCTGCCTGGAAGAAGGGTTGCAGCGGAATAGGAAGAGGGGACGATATCAGCCTGGAAGGACTCCAGAGGTGGATACTGGCCTGGAAGAAGGGTTGCAGAGGAATAGACAGAGAGGACGATACATGCCTAGAAGAAGGACTGCAGAGGAATAGGCATAGGGAACGATACCTGCCTGGTCGGCTGGAAAAGCTCTGGAAGAACCCCAGTCAAACCATGGTGACTGGGGCAGAATCACTTCAGGTTTCCTGGTTCCAGCAAGGAAGCTATCCTGGTGGAGGTACCTATCCGGGGTACAGGCAGCTCCATCACAATCTCCCATAATGATCATACAGCCATAATGTTGTCAAAGCTTTAGGGGAGATCTAGTCCACAACAACTGGAGTGCTGAAGGCTGCCTACCCCTGGTCTAGAGTGTGCTTCTCTATTTTATTGCTCTCTTTTTTTGACATGCATATAGCACCTACACATTCCACTACACTTTACAAGATACAATATGGATATTTGCCAACAAGTAATTGACATACAAAATATAACAGAGACAAGAGGCACCAAAACCTGCACTCTCAGGGGGTCCATTGGGTGGCCCATGCTCTTGGGGCCACCTAATGGCAAACTGTTTTCAGGGGCCCAGTCATGTGCTACGGCACCTGAATCTGTGCAGCCGTGGGAGGAAGTAAGAGCTGGTCACTTCCTTCTAGATAGCACAGAGTCATGTGGGTGTAATAGGCACCGACGTTAGGGCACGGAGTAGGAGAGCCTCTACTCCCAACAGCCTCAGCTAGCTGACTGGATCCCAGGGAAGTCACTGCCCTGCAACCAAAAGGTAGAAAACAGGAGGGTGGCTTAAAATGTGCACATTTTCCATGTGTGTCTATATGTGTGTCAGTATATCTATCTGTTTGTCTGTATGTGTATGGGAATCTGTGTCTGTATATCTCACAGTATAATATATAAAAAATAGTAAGGAACAAAGTATAATATAGGTGCTACTATCACCTAGTGTGAACCACTCCAACACACCAGATATCAATAAAGTGCAAAATGTAAAATGGTGGTGAGAGCACTCAAAACATGCATGCATGAATGATATATTACCAAAACTTGATTAAGTTGGAATATCTACAAAACATGAAACACAAAAACATAGTATAATATTGTTAAAATATATACAAGTAATATTTTGTAACTGGTTAAACTCACATATTACTGAGTCACTTCAAAAGCTGACTCAGACTTAGAGCTTGTAACGAGATGAGAAATCTCAATTTGTGGACGTCCTGTATCAAACTTGATAGATCCGCGCTGGAAATGCTCTCCAAAATCACTCCAGGATGCAGAATCAAATCCAAACTGCTTTTATTATTAAAATACTACATAAAGTTAAAAATAGTAATAAATACAGGTAAAATGTCCTTTATATGAACCACGACGCGTTTCGGCACTCACAGCCTTTCTCAAGTGGTCTGTTTCTCATCTCTGATCTCTTCTTTTTATATTTTCAAATTCTGGCGTCCTTTCCCTGGCGTCCCGTATGACTTCCGCTTTCGTCATTATTCTGCGACTTCCGGTTACGTTCCGTGATGGCGTTACTATTTACGTCATCATTCTTTGCCCAAAACGGCTACGTCATGACGTCTTCCCGGCGCCGAAACCGGAAGTATTCTCGGCGCCATTTTAGAAAGTCTCTTATCATAGAAGTTGCCAGTCTCTTAACAATTACAACTTATTAACACTCATATACACTTAATATATTCGTCTATAAAGGAGGAGAACCCAAATAAACAAATATGATTAATAAAATTAATAAAATCATCATAAAAAAGGAGGTACTATTCACCTATTAAAGGGGAAGGAAGAATAGGTCATTAGAAAAAACTTAATAACAGAGTAAAAGCATACCTTATATGTAAGATACTATTAAATAACCAATAATTAAAAAAGTAACATATAAAGCTATATACATGAATTTATCTCAAAATCAATATTAAGACCAAAAGGGGACAATG